TTTCTTTCTAATTTCCTTTTTTGTTTCTTTTTTCTTTTTCACATTTATGTACGTGTTGTTTGTCTGTTTTAATTGTAAAATTAATAAAGTTTATTTTAAAAAAAATCAAATACCAACTCAACAACCACTACCACAACTACTACCTCAACTACAATCACAACTACAGCCAAAAATAACCACCAAACCACAGCCACAAAAAATCACTATCCCATCAAATAATTCCATAAATGATATCCCCTTACTCATCAGAGACATCATGGAACATGATCAGAAACGTCCAAATGCCATCTTATTTGGTCTTGAAGACACCAACGAATCAGTTGATATCACCAAAGTTCGCAATATCATAAGCAACTCAAATACAATGAACATTTTTCCTGAAGATATCATTGAAATAATCAGAAATGGCCCTGAGTTCAAATACAATGATGGCTCGGTGGCCCCTAGATTTTGTAGAGTTGTTTGCAAAAATGAGTCCAGCAAACATATATGCATTCAAGACCAGACTTATCCATACTGCAAAGACTTATCCATACTGCTCCTGTGAACTCCGCACAGAACTCAAAAAACGTCTAGACAATAGAAAGACCTGTGCGTTGACTACCATGCTGAATGTATCAAAAGTCAACAACCCACAACTCTGCATCCAACCCTACCTCATCCAATCCACCATCACTCAAAACTAGGCACACACGCCCCTAACTACCTCAATTCCAACTACAACTGGCCTTAAATGCAAGCTGCTCAATGCAAGAAGCCTTGTAAATAAAATACCTGAATTTCTCCTCTTATTAAATACGGCTAAATTCGACATCATATTTGTCTGTGAAACATGGCTCAATGCATCTCTCCCTGACTCCATTACTTCAGTAAGAGACTATCATGTTTACCGATCAGATCGTGAAATCCGTAGAGGAGGTGGTGTTGCTATGTTCTATAAAAAACATCTAAAAAACATCCAAGTTACCCAGGAGCTTGCTCTTCCTGAGACCATCATCTGTGAACTGACTTTTAAATATCACATTTCAATTCTAACTATGTTACAGAGCCCCTGATTATGACATCGGACATGTAAACAAGCTAAATTCACTACTAACATGGGCAACATCCTGCCCACATGCTTTTATCTTTCTTGGTGACTTCAATCTACCTCATATTAACTGGACCCTAAACAAATATAAAAACTGAACCAACACATGCAACCTTCTACAATGCTGTAACAAATCTGGGACTGGAACAACTAGTAACCAACAATACTAAACTTAACAACTGCCTCGATCTCATCTTTTGCAATAGTTTGAATTCAATTTACGGAATACAAATTAAAGAACCCTTTTTCAACAGTGACCACAACATGATAGACTTTTGTCTCAACATACATCCAAACAAAAATCATCATAACGATGGGATCCCCAATTATAACTTCAAAAAAGGCAACTATGATCTTATAGACAACCATCTCTCATCTCTTGATTGGCAATTTCTATTCACTGGATGCAGTACTGTTGAAGACCATTACAACATATTTTTACTTGAAGTCAAAAGAGTCATCAAACTATATGTACCAATAACAACTCCCAAAACCAGAAAAAACAAATTATCCATAACAATAAGGAAGCTTCAATCCAAAAAGAAATCTTTAACACATTCTTTGGCTCAATATTTGAAAACAGCAATGGATCATGCTCAGTATTTCCTAGTCGAATCACAGACAACTACAATGATCTAATACATATCAATTTTATAAAAGACAATGTTGAAAAAGCACTACGCAATCTAAAACCATCTCTACCTATTGGACCAGACAGAATATGTGCCTACTTTTTAAAAAAGCTATCCACTGCCATAGCCCAACCTCTTTGAAAAATCTTTCAGGACTAGCTCCTTGCCAAAGCTATAGTCACTAGCCACAGTCATCCCCATCTTCAAAAAGGGAGACCCTAGCCTAGTTGAAAATTACAGACCAATCTCTTTATGCTGCGTCACCTGTAAAGTCATGGAATCAATTATTAACCAATCCATTATCCTCCATTTAGAGACAAACAACCTCCTCTCTAATAAACAATTTGGTTTCAGAAAAAAACTATCCTGTAATCTGCAACTCTTACACTGCAAAAACATATGGACTACACAACTCTATCAGGGCAAAACAATTGACGCAATTTACATATAAAGCCTTTGATTCAGTGGTACACGACAAACTACTCCTAAAATTAAAATCTTACGGTATCTCTGGACACCTACATAACTGGATAGAAGCATTCCTGTCAAACAGACAACAAATGGCCAACATTGGGAGTGTCCTATCAAATTCTTTACCTGTCAACAGTGGTGTCCCCAAAGGCAGTCTTCTAGGACCAACTCTCTTCATACTCTACATAAATGACCTCTGTGATCATATTAAGAGCAACTGCATTCTTTTCGCTGATGATGTAAAGCTATTCAACACCACCGACAATACTGCTACCCTTCAAAAAGACCTCGACTATGTATCAGAATGGTCAAACAAATGGCAACTTCAAATCTCAACAAATAAATGCTCTGTCTTACATATTGGCAAAAAAAATCAGAAAATAAAATACAAGCTGAATAGTCAAGACCTTGTTGATGACCGAAACTCTGTCAAGGACCTTGGAGTACTCATCTCAAATGATGTAAGTGCTAGAGCTCACTGTAACTTCATAGCCAAAAAGGCATTAAGAGTTGTAAACCTAATCCTGCATAGCTTTTTCTCCAGTAATATCACACTACTAACTAGAGCATACAAAACATTTGCTAGACCAATACTTGAATACAGCTCATCAGTCTGGAACCCACATTATGTATCTGATATTAATACAATTGAGAAAGTCCAGAAATATTTCACAAGAAGAGTTCTCCACTCCTCTAATTGTAGCAGAATACCTTATGCCACCAGACTTGAAATTTTAGACCTAGACAACTTAGAATTACGCTGCCTTCGGTTCGATCTAAGTATAGTACATAAAATTATATATTGCAGTGTCCTACCTGTCAATGAATACTTCAGCTTCAATCATAACAATAGAAGAGCACACAATAGATACAAACTCAAGATAAACTGCACCAAACTTGATTGTAGAAAATACGACTTCAGCAACAGAGTGGTCAATGTCTGGAATACTCTACCTGACTCTGTGGTTTCTTCCCCAAACCCAAAAACTTTAACCTTAGACTGTCTACTATTGACCTCACCCCTTTCCTAAGAGGTTTGTAGGGGGCGTGAATAAGCGCACCATCCCTGTCCTATTGTTTCTTTTTTTTTTATTCGTATCCATTTCATGTATTCATAACCATGTTTATACTTATACCTGTTATCTAATAATCACTTGACAAAATAAATAAATAAATAAATAAGCAAACAAACAAACAAATAAATAAATAAATAAAGACTTCGGCTGGGGCCATGTGGTCAGCAGCCTCCTGCTTCAGGGATTGAGGCAGCAGCAGCAGTGAAAGGGGAGGTTGCTTTCTTTGTCTCATTGGGGTGAACTGCAAGGCCCTTGTTGATTGGCTGCTCATTTGAACTAGCCCGTCAGCAACAAGCAGACTGGATCCAAACTAAGCCTGACTAGACTGGGTAAAAACTCAGCCTGCAGGCCCTCATAGCAGAGAAGCTGAAGCCTTTTATTCAGATGGAGAAAGCTGTTTTCCTTACATCTCACGTTCTTACAGCTTCACAAGTTCTGAATAAAAGATTTTGGCTTCTCAGCCATGTGGCTCAGTCTCTTCTGCAGCTCTTCAAAAAGTAAGTACAGTAAAGCCATGGGAAATGATGTGGGGGAGGGTGGATTGGGCTCAGGAACTCTCCATTTCAGCCTGTAAGAGATAGGGGGGTCCTGGGAAGGCCTGAGGGAGGCCTGGGACAGCTGGATCAGGCCAAGGAAGCCTCTATTTCAGCCTTGAACAGGCTGGGGGAGCCCTAGGGAAGCCCTGTAAGAGGCTGTTTGTGCCAGCAAAGAGGTGAAGGAAAGCTCACCAGACAGGCAGGTAGCTGGGCCCCATCGGAGGCAGCAGAGAATGGCAAGGGAAGGCTCGGCAGGAATCTGGCCCACATGGGAGGCCAGGGCAAAGGCAAGCTGGCTGGCCCGCAGAGACCGTGTGGTTGAGACAAGCAAGGGAGCCAAACGGAAAGCAGCAGCAGCTATGCCAGGTGAGCGGTCAAGATGAGGAGTGGGGAAGACCAGCCAGAATTTTTACCACTGGTTTGCTAAAACCGGCTAGAACTGACTGAATCCCACCAGTGACATATAGTATATAGTGACTACAATAATTTTTACTGCCCAATTTCTTCATTCAATCACCAGGAAAATGTTATGCATCCTTATCATAGAGGTTCTTGTATCAGAGGTTAAAATGAACAGAATTTGGAATGTAAAACTGAATGAATAGATGCTAACATTAATATTGAAATTGGGTTTTGAAATGTGATATAATATATGGTTTCCTTTTTGAGATTTCCCCCAACATTTAAGTTAGTGGCTGAAATTTGGGAAAGAAAAGTGTTATAGGTCTTGTCAGCTATAATAAGAATATTTTTTTTAAAAAAGGTAAGTGGTAAAGGAAGAGATTCAGTACTCTGGGAGTTTATTCCTCCTTCTGAGAAAACTATAATATTCTGCCAAATAATCATGTTCATTATTTTTACTGGCAAAGATTTAAGGATTTGGTAAAAAAATATTTTTGGGCACACGCCATAATTTTTACATGTTAGGTTTTTTTGTACATGCCTCTGTAGTCAGATAATTTATTTAGCCACATTGGGAGTTATGAACTTAAAGAAATAATTAACAAGACAAAGAAGCAGCATAATAAAATAGTACTGAATCTGTCATATGCATACTTCACATTTTCAACCTTTATGAGTTACTTCACACACACTTGATCTTAGGCCAAAGACCTACTGATTCTAATTAGATATTTCTTTGGAATGATTGACAGGAGTGAATGCTCAGTCATAAACTGGTAGCTTTCCCAGATACCTGTTTTTCCCCGCTGGGCTTCTTGTGATTGAGGAGTAGCTCAACTGCACCAACCACCTCTTTCCTGATGGCATGTAGCAGAGCATCTCCAACATAGACATTAAAGCTCAAGAGCAACTCTATGAACTCCAAGTTTTCATTTTCTATTGCAATGAGAAGAGCTGTTCTTCCAAGAGGATCAATGCAATTAATATTGATCTTGAAATAAAGTTCTGCTTCTTCCAAGACTTGCTTCACACTGGCATAATCTCCTTTTTCTACAGCATTCAAATAGGCTTTCTCAGCAGGGGAGAGTTCAGATTCTGCTCGCACGACGTGAAGAGGGATGCGATCTCTGTAAGAGGCATTGATGCTTCTCTTATAATAGAACTGGGCCATAGTTTAAACAACCCTCACAATGTATTTCTGTAACAGAATAGAAAGAAATCATCAGTTGCATACTGAAGGAATACAGCACTGTGAATACACTATGGTTGTAGCAGCTCAATTCCATAAAAAATAATATTTAGCAGTAGGAAGACAAAAACAAAAATACCTCCCCACCATATGCAATGAATGCTTATGTTCAAATGCTTTTAAATTGCTGTATCTTCCAGTAACATTTTTTGAATGAGGAATATATACATACTTCCAAGGATTTTATTTCTGTTAATTAAAAATTCTTTGAAAAATCCCCCCCTACTGATGAGAAGGTGATTAAAAAATTATATGGTTATTTACTGGGAATTAAATTAGAGGAAGAACAAGTTAAAGAAACTATGATTGTTTGGGGGAAGAATTTTGGATATGGGATTGATTTAGAGAAATGGCAAAAATTGTGGTCTCAAAATTATAAAATGACAATGTCAACAGCATATAAAGAAAATTTGTATAAGATATTTTACAGGTGGCACTTTCCCCCGACAAGAATAGCAAGAATGTTCAAGAACAAATCTGAAAAATGCTGGAAATGTCATCAAATACCTGGCTCATATTACCATATGTGGTGGACTTGTGAGGACGCTAAAAAATATTGGACTAAAATTCGCATGTGGTTGGAAAAAATGACAAAGAAACGTATAGATTTGAAACTGGAGTTCTTTTTATTGGGAATCTTACCAGATACATACAGTAAAGACTTGAAATATCTGATTGTAAATGTATTAACAGCGGCTAGGATTGTATTTGCTAAAAACTGGAAGAATGAGAAAATACCATCACAGGAAGAAATTATTAAGAAAATATTGGAATGTGCTGAGATGAGTAGATTGACATTTGAAATTAGAGAGCAAGAGGATAAACAATTTTATGAAATTTGGGATCTTTTTTATCAATGGCTAGATGACAAAATACGATAATAGAATATTTAGAATGTTAGACAGCAAGGAATACCTTTATCTTTTTTTTCGCCTTTGTTATTTGACATTATATCTATAAAGTGTTTCTAGGATAGATTTGGTATGATTATATGATTTGTTATAGAATAAACTGTTTAAAATATTGTTATCTCATAAAGCATGAATGATTAAAAGTATAGTCAAATGATTTTTTAATAGCGATATTAGGATATATAAGTTTGGATTGACAATATGAGTTGTTATGTAACATAACTGTAATTGAGACTACGAAATGAATGCACAAAACTGATGAACCAACTGACACACTGTATGTACATAAGAGAGTTGATGTTTTAATGTTTTGTTTGTCTTGTTTGTTTGTAGAAAATCAATAAAATTGTTTTCAAAAAAAAAAATTCTTTGAAAAATCTTGGGTAAGAGTAGCGGGGTGGCTGCTACATAGGTGAAGCAATCTCATACCTTCTGGAACTAGACCCCCCCCCATTTTTTAAATTTCCCCCAAAAATCTGAATGGCTCCCACTTTATACTTTTCCATAAGGACATGAATTGTTCCCCAAGGCCTTTAATTAAGATGGATGAAGCCCATTGTGAGATGTATTTTTGTCCATGATTTTATACAAAGTAATCCAATCTTATTGCTTTGTGTTATGTTTTTATTGTTTATTACATTGTAATCTGCCAGACCTGGTTTGGAGTTATATGGCACTGAAATATTAATTAATTGATTAATTAATTAATGCCTCAAGGTAAAGAGATAATTTTAAATTATCTGTAAAAAGATTCGAGTTAAACATCCTGTTTTTTTTAAAAAATATTATGAACTAGGGAAAACTGATATTTACAATTATATTAAAGACCTAAACTGTAATTGTTAAAGAACAATTATATTCAATTATATTCACTTTACTGTATTTTTTTAATAAAATGTATGATTTAGTACACGGTACATACTCAAATAAAAGATTACTATAAGGCATGGATCAATTACAAAATGTAGTTTTCTTCTCAATAAAAAAGTCAATGATTTGGCTCATTTTTGGATTCAATGAAAAGGGCTTAGAAATGATCTTTCATTCAAAATTCTTCCACTACTTCTTTCTATGGAATATCCATTGAGAACAGAAAGAGAAAATTTCTCTACAACATACAATACTTAGAAATAATTTATAAGACACATAAATACCTTAACAGGTCCATTAATTTCTCCAAGATGCCAGAAAGAAAGGAGGCCCCACAGCTGAGCTGACGGGCTGAGCCCCAGGCAATGCTCAATGTTTTGAATGCAGGAGAAAAGGCTGCTGGGCAAACAACTGGCCCACACCATGACCAAGCATGCGGAACTCCAGATGCTCCATCCAAAAGGCCAGATCCAGGTCCATGACATATTAAGGGACCAAAGTCATAGAGTTCACTCCTCTGTCTAGTGAAGGGGAGGGAACTCTGACTAACATCCAAATGCCAACTGGAGAAAGTGACAGCAGTGGTGACAATGACCCACTGATAAGTGGACCTCTGAAACCAATTATGGTGAAAGTAGAGGGTGGCTTCTTTGGGACAGATGGTAGTGCTAACTGCTCTGGTCTGGCTGCACCTGTTGCCTAGTGAGCCTCAGCCTGGTAGAAAGGCTCAGAGTTCCACCTCCATGAATTAAACATACCAGTTAGATGGCTCAGTAGTGTGTGTGGAGGGTGCTGCCTGTTTCATGACCGAACCACTAGAGATGAAAATAGATTCTTATTCAGAGACTATTAGCTTCAATGTAGCCCCTAGCATAGATTGGCCCATGATCCTGGGGTTTGCCTGGGCTGGAAAGATGGAACCCATAAATTGGGCACCCAACAAAGAAAGCCACAGTAAACGAGGAGCTGTACAAGTTCACCCCTCTGAGAAAGCAAAAGTGGTTGGCACTCTGCCAAATTGCGAAAGAGTTGAGGCAATCTCTCTAATACCCAAAGAGTACTGGGACCTGAAAGAAGCTTTCAGTGAGCAGGATACTTTCCCCTCATCGTCCCACAGACTGCTATTGAGATTCTATCTGGGGCCAAATTACCAAAACCCAAGTTGTATTCAGTGATACCCAGGGAATTGAAGGAACAAAATCAGAACTTTCATAGTCAAAAATTTGGCAGCCCTGGTCCTGTTCAGAAAGATGGGTCCCTGGGCCTCTGTGTCGATTACCATGGCCTGAAAGCCAGCTGTGTGAAGAATGTCTATTCCCTTCCCTTACTGAAGGACACGCTAAGCCACCTAACCAAGGGAAAATATTTCACCAAATTAGATTTACAAGAAGTGTATTATGGATTAAGATTAAAAAGGGAGACAAGTAGAAAACTGCTTTCAATTGCCTGTTGGGATGCTTTCAATTCAGAGTCCTTCCATTTGAATGAGAAGGGGTACTGGGTGTGTTTATGCAATTAATCTACGAAGTGTTACACAAGCAACTATTTAAAGGGGTCCTGGTGTATCTAGATGATAATCTATACCAAGACATGGAGGAACATGTGAAAATTGTGAGAGTAGTGCTAAAGAAACTCTGTGATGCCCAAATGTACATGAAGTTCTCCAAATGTGAGTTTCACAAAGCTACATTGGATTACTTGGGATACCACATCTCAAATGGACCCAGAGAAAGTGAAAACGGTGTTCAAATGGGACATGCCATGAAGGCAATTACAAAGTTTCCTGGGTTTTGCAAGCTTCTACAGGCAATTCACCCCTGCTTTTGCCCTCCCATTAACACACTTGCTCAATACCAAGGGAGAATGAAAACCCAAAGCAGGGCAACCTCTCAAGTGGACATGGAATGCCAGGCAACATTTGAAAAGCTCAAAAGCCTGTTTGCCACCCAACCCATCCTCAAACACCCTAATGCCAATAGTGATTTTTTCATTCAGGCCAATGCCAACGATGTCGTATGGGAATGGTCCTTCTCCAAAAGGATCAACAGGGCTGTCTACAACCCTGCACCTACACTTCCAAAAAAATCTGTCCAATGCTGAGTACAGGTGGACAGTGTGGGAGAAGGAGGCCTACATTATGTGATGGTTCCTACTTACCTGAAGACATTTTTTACTGCCCCTGGAGGGCAGTAAAACTCCATTTGAGGTGTGGACAGACCACAGGAACCTAAAGGCATGCTAAAAACTCTGAAGGCTCTTGGCCAAACAAGCCCGGTGCACTATTTCGATTAGTTCAACTTCACATTGAAGTATTTGCCCGCAGGGAAGAACTTCCTAACTGATGCCCTCTCTCACTTGCTTAATTACAACAGCACTAAAAAAGAAGTGATTACCCACTCATCCCCTTGCACCAGATGGTAATTCCCACCTTCACCAGAAGCCAAAAGAAAGCAAGTACGGTCCTGCCTGACAATTTGAACCAAGCTCTAAAGGAGGCTTTGGAGAAGATGAATGGCTTGTGGAGCACAAGGAGGACATCACTTTATGAGACAGTCTTGCTTGATTCAGTGGGAAACTATGTGCCCAAAAGCCAGAGACCCCTGATCCTACAGAGGTGCCATGACTCCAAATCCGGAGGCCACTATATCAAAATCCTGAACCTAGTCAATCCTGCACCTGCACCAATTCTATTAGATTTTGCAGCAGAAGTTCAACTCTAGAAAACATGCAGATGACTGGTTCAGCAGGATTCAGTAACTTCTTTATATGCATAATAAATGAGTAAAGTTTACAATACCATTAGTAGATTCTTTCAACGTAACATAAGCAAAACACAAGCAGCAGCTCAAAACAAATTACTTTCAGTTTCTCTTTTTAGAGTTGAGAGCACAGAGCTAAACCATTCCCAGACTCTCTCTTTAAGTTTCAGTCTCCAATTGTTAACTATGTCTCTGCTAGTTCATGAATATTCTGACACTCCTCCCTTCATGACTGGAAGAGACATAAATCCAATTAATTTAATATGCTTCCCATGGTACACTCCACCCAATGGCTTATCATTATGTCGGCCAGATTGTCTTCTGACGTACAGTGAAGCAAGCTAATCAATTTATCTTTGTGGCTTCTCTTACATTACAATAT